CACATGGTATTATAACAACTGATTTGCCATTTAGATTTATTTTTTTAAGTATATTTATTTATTTTTGAGAGAGAGAGAGAGAATGCATGAGCTGGAGAGGGGCAGAGAGAGAGGGAGAGAGAATCCCAAGCAGGCTCCACACTCAGGGTGGAGCCCCATGCAGGGCTTGATCTCATGACCTGAGCCCAAACCAAGAGTCAGTCATTTAACCGACTGAGTCACCCAGGCTCCCTGCTATTTAGATTTAAAAAGAAGCTGGATTTCTACTTCACTCTTCATTCCCAAATAAGTTATAGGTGAGTTAAAGATCTAAACTGAAGATAAATAAAGCTGTACACATTCTGGAGTAAAAAATGAATACTTCTTTTTAGTATCTTGGCATTACATAAAATCAACAAGTCTAAAAGCTAAAGATAGATACCTTTGCCTACATATACTATTGTATGGTAAAAGTACCATAAAAGAGTTAAAAGTCAGGCTTAAAATTAAAGATGAAATTAACAGCTTGAGATTTTTTTTTTTTTGAGAGAGAGAGAGAGGGAGAGAGAGCACGAGTTGAGGAGAGGCAGAGCGAGAGAGAGAAAGAGAATCTTAAGCAGACTCCACTCCTAGCATTGAAGCCCTATATGGGGCTTGATCTCATGACACCAAGATCATGACCTGAGCCAAATCAAGAGTTGGACAACTAACTAATTGAGCCATCTGGGTGCCCTGAGAAAGATTTTTGAACAGGGAGTTCATGGAAAAATAACCCATGAATGAACTATAATTTATTTTTATTTAATTATATGTTTTATTTTTTAGAGAGAGAGAGAGAATGTGTGTGAGCAGGGGGAAGGGGCAGAAGGAGACAATCTTATGCAGGCTCCATGTTCAGGGCAGAGGCTATCCCTGGACTCGATCCCATAACACTGAGGTCATGACCTGAGCTAAAATCAAGAGTCAGATGCTCATTTGACTGAGCTGCCCAGGCACACCTGAACTATAATTTATGAAGTGATGCTGAACCCTGCTCAAAATTATATAGATGCAAATGAAAATAAAATTATTTTTTTATCTATTTCATAAAACTAACTTATTTTAGAGCACCGGCTTTGAAGAATGGTGCAAAAACACTTGAGTAATTTCTATACACGTTTTAAATACTCATATTCTTTGATCCAGCAATTGCACTTATAAAAATGTATTCTAGAACTATGATTGTATGTGCAACCAGAACAAGGATGATAATTATAGCATTGTTTACAGTAGTAAAAAACTGGAAATGATGCAAATGATCATTAACAGAGGGTTGGTTAAATAATTAATGGTCCATAATCCTTTGTGCTATTTAAAAAGTATGGTTAGATCTGCATATCTGCATGTGGGAAAACCCACTAAAATACATCATTAGGTTTAAAAAGAAGAAAGGAGAGCCTGGGTGGCTCAGTTGGAAAAGCATGCAACTCTTGATCCTTGAGGTTGTGAGTTTGAGCCCCATGCTGGGTATAGAGAGTACTTAAAATGTATACATACATACAAACATACACGAACAAACAAATGTTAAAGAAAATAAAAAGAAGAAAGAAGCCAGGGCACTAAACAATACGTATATTATATTTCTCTACAGTTGGAGGGGTTCAGTATAGCCCTCCGCCCCAGAATGTGCCATTTTGGCATGTGGATTATTTTGAGCTGAAGGCACTGAAGGCACTTGAGACCCTGTGGAGTCAAGAGAAACTTCTGCCCCCCTTCCTTTAACCACACAGAAGAATCTAAATTGTGAGTCTTTCCCAGAAGAAGGATTATTAATGGAGATAAATTTTATCTGAGTGACCCATCTGTATTGCAGGGCAAACATGTGCTCTCCTTATTGCCTGTAAAGTGCATTCTTTTCCTCTAAAGTCCCAGGCCCCTATCTCCTTCTCCTTAGTTCAGAATGACATACAGTATATACTTCATTTTGCCTGACTGTCTTTGGAATTTCCATGTCTATGTGGATTCCCTGTACAAATGCCCATTAAATTTTATTTTCTCCTATTAATCTGTCTCATGTCAATTTGATTCTTAGTCCAGTTAGAAGTACCTTTGAAAGGACAGGAATTCTTGCTCCCTGACACAGTATAATCTCTGAAAACATGTCTATATACATAGAAAATGTCAGCAAACAAGAAATTGTTAAAAATTAACTTTGGGACAGGGAGTGAAGGTTTTGAGGTAGAAGGAAGACTTATTTTTCGTTGTATGTACTCTTGGGTTGCTTGAAACTTTAAAATCATGTAATGTAATTTGTTATTGAGATTACTGAAAAATACACTACTTGAAAAAGCAAGCATTTATCATGCCTCAGCTGTTCTTCTGATTATAGCATAGTGTTTGTGATATCACACTTTGCTATTAGAAAGATCAAATTAGGTTTAATAAAACAAATCAAGTAAGCATATGAAACACTTGTAAAGGTTGTTACTTAAAAAAATTCAGTGCGTAGATGACAAAACTTCACTGGGAAAAATTCATGCATTTAGCATAACCTCATAAAACTCACTGTGTCCTGCTACTATGTAAAGATCCTGACATAGTCTCCATACCATGCTAGGCTTTCAGCACCTTGCCCAGTAGGGGTGGCTAGTTGCCTTGTCATCCCAGTGTCTTCAGCCAGTCTACCTTCTTGGAAATGGGCACTCCAAATTTTAGGATCTGGGGGGTAAGTATAAATGAATGAGGAGTGGCTTGGATCTCTTACCCACCAGGCCCTACCAGTTCTCCAAGAAGAGGGAAAATCGAGCTGCCAGGTACAGGATAGAACTGTCAATAATACAGGAAAGCAGCTACATGAAACAATGAGACTTAAGAACATATTTTTGCTATTGGTACTTTACCCAGTTGTAATTGAAGAGTGTTATTTCCCCATTAACTAAAAATTCATTTCCCCAATTATAATGAAAAGTAATAGATGCTCATTTTTGAAGGTATGGAGAACTATAATTTATACTACGTTAACAGAAAGAAATATCCCTAAATTATGAGCACAAATTCAATTTCCTCCAACTTGTATTCTGTTTATCCTGTTAATGAGAATTTGAATGGGGAAGGGGAGTTAGGGGAATTTACTTATATATACATACATAGAATAAAAGCAGAAATATATATAAAAACTGAAAACATCACTCCTTTTATTTTTGTCTCGGTTTGTTTTTTTTTTTAATGTTTATTTTTGAGAGAGAGAGAGAGAGAGGCAGAACATGAGCTGAGGAGGGACAGATGGTGGGGGGGGGGGGGAACATGGGCACCTGAAAAGCAGACCTACTTGAGCTGACAGCACAGAGCTCGATTTTAGGTAGGGGCTTGAACTCATGAACCATGAGATCATGACCTGAGCCGAAGTCGATGCTCAACAGACCAAGCCACCCAGGCACCCTTCAAGTTCTTATTTAAATTCTAGTTTAATAACATATAGGATAATATTGGTTTCAGGTCTAGGATGTAGTGAATCAAATGTGACCCCTGAATAGGGAAACTGGAGCCCTGGGGAGGGGGAGAAGTCACACATGGAAAGGACTGTTTCAATAACTTTTTTTGTCTAATTTATTATTTGCCACACCATTTTTTTTAAATATGAAAGCACTCTAAACTTTAAAAACATTATGAAAACTTTCATATGAATCCTCTAATATGCCTCATTCTTATGCAGAAACATGAAATAAAAATGAAACCCATTACTAAATCATAAACCAAATGAAAATAATTTCATAACAGCACACAAGAAACATCCTATTTACTTAATCATGCAGATAAAAAAAAAAGAATGATCAAAAGAAGGCACAAATGGAGGAGAAAGAATAGAACAAAATGTCTGAATGGAGGGAAAAGGAGGCTATCCCTAAGACTAGAGAGATTTCCTTCCCCTGGAGCTATAAAGACTCAAGATTTCCACAATAAGTGTGCGACTTTGAGAATGTACTGCTAATCCTTCAAGATGTAAATGATAGAAATTCATGAATAATGGTGACAGCAACTGTCACCAGGTAAAGGTAAATGGATAGAGTGGATACTAGGAGAAACCATTGGAAGGAGATAATGGAAATCTGAAAAGGTGTAAGAACTGAAACAATCAACTTATCACAGATAATAAATCACAGAACAACATTGCTTTCTTTGATCTGTGTCTTTTTGTTAAACAAGAGTTGCTTTTTGTATCACAAGAATTTTCTAAACCCTCCCCTGGGGAGGTCCTTGGTGGTTTATATCTAATGCCAATTCCTACAGAAATGGAAAGAGGAACCTTTGAGGGATTATATAATCTCTGGGTCAAAGCCATAGCTGAGTCTGAGGAGCATGGTAGTTTTAGAGAGTCATGGATTGGGAATCTTGGAGTTAAATGTCCCATAGCTGGCAAGCCGTAACATGTATTTTTTTGTTTAAGAAGAAATACAGCTTTATCAAAGTGGAAAAAAAAAAAAGGGCACAATATTAAGAACCAATCAGTCCTTCTCAGAATCATCTCATTCTTTCTCTATGCATCCTTATCAAATCCAAATACATATTTAATGTTAGAAAAGTTTAAATAGGTATGGGTTTTATTTTTCTGTTTCCTCCTAGAATAACGTAAGCCTGGAAATGTTCTGTATCTTTATCTGAAATTTACAGCTCATCTCCTATTTTAAGTAAACATCAGGTACTTAGCTAATTAAATGCAATACTCATAGGATCTTGTTTATAGGAAAGTGTCAGCTTTCAGGATGTTGTGTGCAAGTCTTGATAAAATTACGTAGAAAATGACAGTGTACCCTCTTTTCATAGGCTGACCTTGCAGTCACCACCGCCTGAAAATGGCTCAAAACAAAAAATGATCTGAGGGTTGAAACAAGATAAGATCAAATTGATGTCATGGTAATTACATGAAGGACCATTCAATCATTGGGTGGAATTTACTGTTGATCCCTGGGCTTAGATGCAGGTGGGAACATGCAGTTTTTATTACTCTGCTGGTATAAAAGACAAGTGAGGACTTTATTAACTGTAGTTACTGAGAAATCACAAGACAAAGCCAAAATCCCTCTTCAGATCCACGGTCAACCGCCCTGAACACATCCTGCAAAAAGTCCGGAGGAAGGTAATATGAATGAAACAATTTTTGAGATTTTAATTGAGTGCAGAGTAAAATATTCAATAATATAGGGCAACTATGCATAAGCCTTAGTGAGGAGAGAGACAGACATTTACACATTCTCTTTTCAACACTCATTATTGAATTGGGAGGAAGTCTGCAAAACTGTGGTCTGTGATCACAGGCTAAGATGTTATCTAACAGAAACCAGAAACCAAATGTCTCCTGCTGAGATGTGCAAGTGCCTGTCAGTATCTAAAAAATTTCCTTAAGAAATACTGGATGTCATTTGAAAGACATTTGTTTGAGTGGCTTACAAGGGTCAGATAGAAGGAGAGTAGACATTATGTAAGTTGCTGATATTGTTTTACCATAAGTTTTTAAATGATGCATTAACTATATCTTCAAGCTGACCAGTGATAAAGCAGCTCACCTCTTCAGCTGAAGGACCATAGCTTCTGACATCTTTTGAGTACATGTTCTCCTGTAGACTTGAATATAGCAACACTAACAATTTTTGGACAACATTGTTTCCATTTTCTTCTTTCATAAAATGCTACAAAAATAAGAGTCAGTGCTATTTCTTCCAACTATTACTGATGACCTTGTAATTCTGAATCTCTTGACCAAATCCAGTTGGTTTGTTCCAGTGAGAGTTTCTGGACACTTTTGCTAACCTTAGTTATATTTACATGAGCACTAGTTGAAATGGCAGCTTACTGAGAAATTGAGACTAGAAAACAAAAGTGCTCTCTTGTTTGTGTTGAGGAATAGGATTTGGGCGCATGGAAGAATTATGGGTCCTTTGGGAATGTGGAAGCTCCATTTAATCTGCATAGGAACTCTCATTCCCTAAGAACTTCCAATCCTTTCCTCACTCAAAAATGAGATATTTTATATTAGAACAAAGGAATCTTCTTAATTTTCTGAAGATGTCTTTTAAATAATTACTTGACCTAATACCAAATTAATTATTCAAACTATTAGTCACCCAAATTGCATTGTAATATGTTGCTATATAGTCTTGAATTATTTTAAAGAGATAAGAACAGTTACCATTTATGAAAAGTTCATGTGCTTTCATTTCAATTTTAACTTTGGTTTTGGTTTAAGTTTCTTTTTTTTTTTTTCGGTAACAGAGTTTTTGAAATTTTGAGTCATATTTCTTACCATTTCCTGCTGAAAAAGGTAGCATGCGAACAATGTTAGAAAAGCAATTGATTATGTTCCAGAACAGATTCTTGGTTTCATTGTACATTTCTTATAAATGTGGGACTCAAATTTACGTGAAAACTCAAAGTAAGAGCTGGGAAATAGAAATAGCAAAATTAGAAGGTTAATGTGCATCTTGTTCAAAAACAGATCAAGATAAATCTGACTTTCACAGAGAGAAAATGTAGAGCAATCAAGATTTCCATTGAGAACAGTATGACCCATAGCACCAAACTTCTGTTTTTACAGACTGTGAATCCTAGGGTAGTTTGCTATCAATTTGTGACCCTTGCAAATTCTGGGTTTGGTGTATCACATTTCAGCATTACCTATTGTAACGTTGCACAAAGTAATCTGGTCATTCCTCGGTTCATCAGACTCAGAGATAGCATTATAAAAATGCTCTACCTTCCTTAATACGCTGGGGTCTAAGAGAAAGTGAGGGTTTAGATGGGGCTTAGGCTGAACTGAGAGTGGAACCAAGGGCAGTGTTGGGAGTCAAAATAGAAAAGACAAGGCACCTGGGTGGCTCAGTCGGTTAAGCGTCTGACTCTTGATTTGGGCTCAGGTCATGATCCCACCGTTGGTGGGTTTGAGCCCTGCATCGGGCTTTGGGCTGACAGCATGGAGCCTGCTTGGGATTCTTTCTCTCCTCCTCTCTCTGTTCCTTCCCTGCTTGTGCTCGCTCTTTCAAAAATAAATAAACTTTGGAAAAAAATGGAAAAGACATTTGTAACAGCATGATCTATGTGTAAATCAATGTCCTAAAGGAGGTAATGGATTAACTATATACCTCTGGGCTGTAGGGGTAGTACAGGTGGAAAAGCACGATCTTAGGATCAGATCACTTTCCAAGTGACTTTGGCAGATCTTTTTAATTTTCTGAAGTGTAGTTTTCTGGTCTATAAAATAGGTGCCATAAGAATGCTTTCCTCCCAGAGGTTCAAAAGAATCAAACAAGGGAATGCATGCGAAAGCCAATGTTTCTCCCTTTCTCCCACAATCAGACACTAGTCCTCATAATTGATCAAGTATAAAATGCCTCTCGATCTAAATGAAATGGCTTTCTTAAGGCTGTTCTGAAGAAGGTGAAGTCAGACAAATATGTAAAATAAAAAATTGCATTGGCAAGTTATATTTAAGCTGGCACAATATAATGTTGCTCTAAACAAAAAATGTCAGCATCTTATTTAGGGACATACCATCTGAAAAAATCATTTAAGAACTTCATTGTAAAATATAAAGATTTGCAGGCAGTACAGTGAAGTGTGGTTCAGAGCTACGAGTTTGGAGTTATAAAGAGATGTTCTAAAATCTTGGCTCCACCAGCAAAACATTTTGTGACTTTGTATGGGTTACTTTGCCTCAAGAATTTCATTATCTGCCAAAATGAGAATAACACTTCATAGGATTGTCATGAGTGTTGAATATGTTTGTGTGTTCAAAGTGCCCAAAGGAACATTTATCACACCCAAGTGCTCCATTAACTGTAGGCATTATTTTTAAAGTATAGTTATTATTATTACCAAAGCCAGTATTGCAGATACTGTGTAGAACGCTAACTCCAACATTTTTTTCACACATTGCTACATTTCCCAAATAGAGTGACTGGATATGTGTTATATAAATAACCATCCACAGAGGAAAAGTAAGGAGAAAGTAGAAAGAGGAGAAAGCAGAAAAGCAAGATTGGAGTCCTATAGTTCAGACCCTGGAGGAAAAATTTTTGTTATAAGAGAGAGCAATAGATAATTGTTCCAGTTATCTATCGCTGTGCATCAAACTACCCAAAAATTTACTGGGTAAAACAACAAGTTATTATTCTGTCATGGTTCTGTAGGTGGCCTGGGCTCACCTGGGCAGGGTGAGAAACGGGTTTCTCGTGTATTTGCTATCAGACAGTGCCTGGGCCTGGAGTCATCTGGAGGCCCCACTGGACTGGTCATCCAGGATGGCTTCTTCATTTCTTACTTCTTGGCCTTCTTTTCTCTCTCCATGTGGCTTGGCTTCTTACCGATGGTGGGCTCAGAGTAGCAGCAACTGTCTTCTAAGAGACCGGAAGCAGGAACTGCAGGGATACACCACAACTGGCACAATGTTGCTCCTGCCATATTCTATTGGTTAAGTAGTCAGAGGATCCACCAACATCAAATGGGGCACAAAAATAGACACACCATGTTTTGATGTGGAAGTGGCAAGGTTATACTGCAGAAGGAACATAGGTTGAGAGAGATGTTTGTTGCCATGTTTGGGAAGCACAACCTGCCATAGGAATGGAAACTTAGGGGCCGGGAACAACAAAGGAGTTTCTCTTTGAAGTTCTTCTGCTGTTTTTATCACAGAAAAAAAATCCTTATAAAGTCAGGTGCGAGGGAGGAGAAATCAATAATCCTGGTCTGTCTATTCCATTATTGAAAAACTTCAAAGCAAATGAAATATGTTTTAATGCTTTAATGCTTTTAAATGGGAATTAAAGTTTGTGTGTCAAAAGACTGCATAAAAATAGCTCAGATAAACATGACAAAATACAATGCGCGAATTTTAAAAGTTATAAGAAACATTCTTCTATGACTGTAATCATGCTCCGTATAAAACTTTTCTAGCCTTTGGCTATTTTACTTTTCTGAGTGATAAATTGATACTATCCAGTATTTGATCCTTGACAGCATTTATTACTATGATAATCTTAATCTTAAAAATTGGGTATTTTTAAACAACAAACATTTGAAATTCTCATTTAAAACAATATTTTATGGTGCATAGAGTTTGTCCTATAAAAATTTCTTATTTCTATGATTTAGTATGCAGACAATTTAAAAACAGACTGATGTGCTAGGAAAACCAGAGGGTAATGGAAAAACCAAGATTTTAATTACATAATTAAGTTAACATTGTAAAGTGCCTTTAAATAACGAAGTAAAAAGTACACATTTTACTATATGACCCTTAAATTTATTTAATTAAAAAAAAAAAAAACCTTTCAGGATGAGAAGAAACTGCCTGGATGGCTCAGTTGGTTGAGTGTCCAGCTCTTGATTTCAGCTCAGGTCATGACCCTATGAGCTCCCTCTCTCTCTTTCTCTCTCTGTCCCCACCCCACCGTGCCCCCACCATGCTCCTCTCCCATGCTCACGCTTGTGTGCTCTCTCTCTCTCAAAAAGAAAAAAAGAAAAGAAACTTCTCAAGATATGATTGTTACAAGAATGGTCATAAAGGGATTGAAATCATTTTTATAAATCCATGAGCCTTTCAGTTTTCTTCTAATTCCTGCTTACATTTTTCCCTTTATTTTTATTTTTTTTTTTTTTATAAATTTTTTTTTCAATGTTTATTTATTT